GTGCTTTTCATGTATTACATGTGTATTTCAAAATTCCTAATAGCCCAAGGGGATTCCTCAGTGCAGAAAAACACTAGCCCCATCCTAAAAAATGGACGCCCCGGGTGTAGCGCGATGCTAATTACACACCCATCATGTGAAATAGTTATAGTAGCCCTATATCAATTTAGTATTGTTTTAAATTAATTAAAACAAATGACAAAAACAATAATTAAAAAAAAATCAAAATAAAGCAAACACTCATTTTTTTTTTAAAAAAGTGTTAAATCTAGACCCTAAAAAGGGCATATCTCAAGAGGGCACTTTGAAAACACATGTTAACCCCCTTCCCCGCAGTCACGCATTTTAACGCATATACCATTTCCTATTTCTAACGCAAAATCACGCATATACCGTTTCCCCGCAATCACGCATTTTCACGCACTTTAAAAAGTTGATTTAATCTTCAATTTATTGCGAAATTCCTTATATTTTATACTTACTAAAATCAAATAAAATAAGGAAAGTTAGTTTCCTATTAAAATATTACGTCCTAATATCATTTACGCTAAACTTTAGAGAAACTTGTATCATGCTATAAAGTGCTTGCGGGGAAATGGTAAAGTCATATTTCTATCAAGTGAACGCTAAGTGTATGTTTCATAACATTTCAGTAAGTTGTAAAGAGTTAATGTCATTGAAATGATATTTAACATTTTTTAATTTTTACATACTTTAACATGTTTAATTACTCTTAATATCCTTTCATATTGAAATCTTTATTTAAAACAAGTTATTTAAAGATAAATTCATATATCTGTATTCCATTCTTTTTTTAAACAATGTTTTAATTATTGATTCAGAAACAAAAAGAATATAAAAAGGCATTTACATCCAATTTCTTCAATAAAAAAAGTAGTAAGGTTACACTTGAGAAAGTAATGGTATTAATCTAGCTGAAACAGGTGCAAAAATTATTAAAATTTGGAGGTATGATTGTTTTTTTACCTGCTTGGACTGTTATTTGTTTACAAGTACAGTCAATTTAAACATTAAAGGAAAATACTTTTTTTCAGGGAAGGGGGGATGGGCATTTTGAAAAATACATGTAGATACCATTCTCTTTGTACGATGGCCGACAGCGGCCGCCACTTTTGAGTAAGAATATTGTCATATTGTACAGAGCTTTTGTCAATTTTTGTTGACAACTTACAACTCAACTAGTAATGCATTGTGTACATGTACAATTCTTACACTGACAAAGCTCACCAGCGAAAAACATTAAAATTCTTTCGTGAAACATGAAATAAAACAGGTGACTTGAAAGAGATATGGTTTTATAAGTCCTTCGATAACATAGCGAATGAAGTGAATTTTACTCTTAATTAGTCTGAATGCTAGATTCTGTTCACGTCCAAAGTGCATCGTCACAAGACGGTCTGTAACTGTCTGAATAAACTAAAATAAACTTTTATTTAAAATAAAATCAACCCGATGAAAACAGATATGAAATGAAGTACGATGTGTTTGTGAAACACTGATGCCCCTGTATGGCAGTTAAGGATCAAGGCTAAAGTTTTTTTTAAATGTACGTCAAAGTCTAAGGTCAAGAGGTTAAAATGATTGGTACCCAAAGAAAGGTTTTGTCTCAAGAAATACACGTGAGACATGAAAATCCTTAGCTCCAACCGTTCAAAAGTTATATATATATATATGCATAGTTATAGTTTTTGCGGACAAATAGACAGACAAACCAAAAACTATATGCTCCGAATTTTTTGATAATTGGGGCATATAAAATAAAACATTTCAAATGAAAAGAGGAATAAAATCTTTAGAGTAGGGTCATTTTTTGTTGCTAGGTAGACAAAGGGTAAGTAAACACATGATATTTTAAATAAGGCCAAATCTGACCTGCATGTATGCTTAGTTTAACCCAAAATGGTTGTTTACAAATGCCATGTCATACATTTCAAAGTCGACTTCCGAAGGAAGCACTAGCCTATTGATGCGTCGAGGATTAATTGGGAAATAGGATCTCGACACTAATTAAGAGGGAACTTTAATAAAATGCACGTTCTGATATATTATCTTTAACAAGTCACCTGTTTAATGTATCTTAATTTCATATCACACGAAAGAATTTTAATGTTTTTTGCTGGTGGAAATTGTCAGTGTTAGAATTGTACATGTACACAATGCATTACTAGTTGAGTTGTAACTTGTCAACAAAAATTGACAAATACTCTGTACAATATGACAATATTCTCACTCAAAAGTGGCGGCCGCTGTCGGCCATCGTACTCTTTACTTGGAAAATATTCTACCAACAGGATCATGTGAAAACTGGTCTTACTGCCATGCATAATTTGTTTTTTTTTTTAAAAACTCTGACTTTAATTAGAAACTTTGACCCTCAGCTAGCTTGTCAAATCTATCAGTTCAATCAAAGAAACTAACTTAGTTTGTTGTCAGATAAAATATCCATTTTTTCTTCAAGTTGAACTATGTGTTTTATTCTACTTTCGGTTTATAAAAAAAACGATCCTGATTTTTATTAGTTGATAATTTACATGTTTATTTATCTTTGGTCTTGGGCTAATTCTTGCATAATCAATGCAATCAAATGACAGTTTCTCAAGTTAAATCCTCTACCCTGACAGCCTGAGGCATGTTAATTAGCCAGGTGGCTGTGTGCGTGCTTTCAAGCGTGAAGTGATTTCCTGTCGTTGTTTAAACAAAGGGATTATCAGCATGCACTGAATAAACAGAACAGCAAAGGAATATTGCCTAAACTGGGCATATTTATTAATTTTGGGTTAGGAAATAAGGGCATGGCGCTGGAAAAAGGGGCATGGCGCCGACAAAAAAGGGCATGGCGCCGCGCCATGCTAGTTTGCTTTAGATTTAGCACTTTTTTGATTTGAGTAAAAATCAAAGACAGAAAGAAGCACTGTTTTGACTGAAAGTTTTTCAGTAATACAATGAATCTCTTAAGTTACATATCAGATGAGATAAACTTGCATACAATTATTTAGTTGTTGTCAATTATCCCATTTATCATCATCTCAGCTCACTTTGCGATTGTAATACTGTCTACATGAACCGATAATTTACAGCTGATTTATGAACACACGATTGTTAAAATTTTCATTTCCCTTTCCAATATACATTGTCAGAACATACTTAGTTGGTTATGATATAAAATTAAATAATAAACACTTTCGATTTATTAAAGATTATCTAACAATATACGATCATTTACTAAATACTTCTCGCCCTCAAGAGAGTTAAAAAGACAGAGAAAATTCAAAATACAAACAAGTGCACCTTAGGATTAATTGTTCCGATATATCTATTTTAATTTTGTGCACAATTGTTTTCAAAATTATATTAAAATCTATTTTCCATAAACAAGAACCCAGCAATGGATAGATATTAATCGAATAAACTTACCTTTTCTCTTGTCAATCAGAAAATCTTGTTGACATTAAGTGTTTCTTAGTCGCCATATTTTTTTTCCATGAAAACAAACGTTGTTATGATCAGGATCAACGGAAGTTGATTTTCGGAACTCTCGAGAATTTAGAGTTCCGAATGTAAAACTGAAACAACAAAACACGGTGCGTCCGTGAAAGCAACTTTTTTGGACACTTTTTTGGACAAATCGTCGTGTCCAAGTTTTGTTGGGTACTAACCTGCAAATACCCAATTAGGGTGTTTTAAGCATATTCAGCGACACTTCTTATTGGGTATACCCAATAAGCAAAAAGTACCCAATAAGTACAATCTTGGCATGAAAAATACCCAATAAATGCACTCTCGTAAACACGGACAGACGGACGGACGGACATGAGTAACAACAATATACCCGAACTTTCTTTAGAAAGTGCGGGTATAATGAGGGCGAGGATCTTGCGGATCTGGGGACCGGTAAAGTCAAGTCTACCACATACATGTACATGTATGGATAAATATTGGGTTGTATATTTCATTCAATGAGTTTTATTTTTAGTTCTTTTTTTTCATACAGGAGTGTTTGACTTTCGTACACAAGTAGTGGTAATGGATTGTGAATGTTTCAAAAAACCAGACCTGTAGTTCCTGATCGTAGTCGGAGTCGTAAGAGAAACTTGGTGTATCTATGATGTCGTCTGTACCGGAAGTACTCCTCTTTCTTCTACTCTGTGTACAAACACTAACAGTTTGACTCTTAGACTCGGAACAGGGTTCTGTTGGAGACTCCAGTTGACAGTGGGCGTAACCAGGGTTTTGACTGGCAGATTGGTAGGAGGAGCATGTGCAGTAGAAGGAAGTAGGAGTGGTGGTAGGGGTGGATCTAGAGAGAAGCCAATAACATCCAGTACGTATTGATACAATGGGTTATCTAAATGTGAGTTTCTGTCAACATAGTTCTTTTACTTACGGCGCTGAATAGCTGCTCAGGGTTGGACTGTTTATGAAGAGACTGTCCGATGAGCCTTGGGCAACTCTGTAAGTATTTCAATTTATTATATCAAATTTTACCTTCTGTATATATTATTTATACCATAAAAATCAAAATGATATGATACACTCCCAACGTTTAGGAAGTACATTTATAAATCATAAACTTTTATCATCGCTTAAATTTTTATCCCTAATGTTAAATCACGGTGCTATTTTCACGGCAAAACCTATTCGTAAAATGAGAGTTCCCCCCAAAATCGTCGAAGTCTCCTTCTTGTCTAACAGTACTTGAAAATGAAATATGGAGTCAGAAGGCACAATTTGAACATGAAATAAAAATTGACGATAATCAAGATTTTTATGCAACGAGACAGATAAAAAAAAAAACATCTAGAAATTTAGCTCAACAATCTACTGAAAAGAGTGATAATGGACCTCTGAGAACATCAGAGGTTGGATCAGGTGCCACTTGTAAGCATACTACATTTCTGGTACCTCCAAGACACGGCAAATGTTTTCTCGTCAGCTACAGGACTTCCTTGACCTTTAGGAATGAAATCATCAGACCTGTCCCCATTATAAGAACCACACAGTCCCTCTGTTTGATCAAAGTCAGAAGAGGGCGCCACGATCTGGACGTACGATATCCAGTTATCCCAACCACTCAGGGCGAAGGATACCTCTACACCGTTAGGGAGAGTAACCTGCCAATTAGAAAGTTTTTTTTATAGAAATGTAAGTAAATGCATTATCTTATTAATCATTTTTCTTTCGTCTGTAAAAAAAGTCCTCTTTAGGCATTGCATGTTATTTAAAAACTTTAATGTTTGCACCTTTTTCATGCCCCTCTTTGTTTTCTTTATATGAACTTGTAAATCATCTGATGCAAGGTGCGATATTTTCTTTTCTTCATAATTAAATGATCATAATAATGGAACAAACCCGGTATCTACTTCCGGTTTTCTGCACGGCAATGGCATCAGGGTCGCATCCTTCCATGAGTTCATACGGAACACTAAGGAGTTGGACCCGACTGGCGGACACTCTGGTGCAGGTTCTGACGACGTACAGGGAATTCCCGCTCTTGACGGCTACTCCACAGTTACAGGTGGCATATCCGGGGACGCAGGCAGAAAATAAGGCGTGGACCTAGGATTTATATACAAATCAGGTAAAAAAGCATTTCAGTACAAAATGATTTGTCTTTCAATTCATGTGCCAAACAACTAGTACATCAGTTTGTACTAATTTACGACAATCTTCGTATACGATTTTGTCGCCCACGTGGAACAGTGGTCAGAGTCGCGAAGTAAGCAGTTGCTCCTTACCTCGCGGTTCGAATCCCAATGTGGGACGTGGAGACCGCTCCTTCGGATGAGACCGTATAAACCAAAATATGTAATTATTTTTTACTTGGACCAAAAAGTTTAGTTATTTGTTATACCTCATTTCACCTATCAGTGAAATATTCATCACGAGCGAAGTGAATATTGTACTCATCAGGTTGCTTAGTCAATGTAAAAATCTAATTGGTATTACATAATTTACTAAACTTGTTCATAAAAAAGACTGTTATTTGGATTTTTTATCCCTCGGACAGTAGCTGTGGTATCTTACCGAGAAGGGCTTCGACTTATGTCTGTACATAACAAATTCTCCCACTCGCTGATTCTCCCAGTAGATTCCGTCAAATGTCTGCATGTGAGGGTCGTTATAGGAGCTACATATACCTCCTCCGCTCGTGTCCTTATCGTGGACTCGGACCTGAAAAAAATGATCATACATGTAAATCAAAATCTATTAGATTATGAGAATGATGGATTTTAATTGTAATAATTTAGAGAACTGGTCAATGAATAGGAATGCAACCAGTATAAAGTTTACTGTTGCTGATATCATTTGATATAATTTGATATCATGTAATTTGTATTCTTTTTCATTCTCTTGTTTTATCATATTTTAACATAAAATTCGTACAGAAATGGTATCGTCAAACTGCATGTTCCCCCACGCGATGTTGTTACTGTCAGAGCCAGGTTCTAGTTTTATATCCGTCATTTTGTACCACCAGTTTCGCATCCCGTCCATATATCCTGTTATATTTAGCTGCACAGTTTCGTACCAATATTTGTACGAGAAATGTAGCTGACATCCATTGTCCGGAAATGCTGCGGAAAGATATTTAATTCCGTTCCAGCACCACGACCAATACTCTGTGGTTCGAATGTACATAGTCCCCTTGCAATTCGCTTCCTTCTCAGACTCGGAAAAGGAGGCACTACAACCAACCGGAAATGTGCTCGTCACCTCTATGGATACCGTCTGACCTTCATCTACATCTATATTTGTTTGGTTTACCTATTAAACATTAATTTCAACGACGTAAAGTTAATTAATTGTAAACGTTTAAAAATTTTATTAAACAGTATTTTTAAAGAACGTCTTTTAAAAATTGCAGTGTCTTTAATATTAACCAACATGTTATTTTCAAAATTATTCCATTTTTTACCAATTGAAATAAATAAATTCAAGACCAAAACTCCAGAGTCAAAATAAAAATCATTACATGCTAAAACTTGCACTGTAAAATCTAGAAATTAAACAGAAGTGAATAGACTTTTTCGAATACCTTCACACCAGCAAAGAACTTGAGGCTAGTAAACGTTGAACCAGGTACACTGTTAGAATACTGGGCGCTGACGCTACAACTCACCTGTCAGACAAATCCAGTGAAAATAATGATTAATAAAATGCATGGATTACCATAAATAATTGTAAAATTTCTTGAATGCTGAGCAGTTAGCTGTAATACATTGGCTGCAACGTTATTGTCAAATTACACGAAAGATCAAGTTACACGAACGCATGATTAAACCTGTTACACGAACGATTCTTTACGAGCACGATTTTACAATTTACACGATATTTCACGATTGCTATTGCAAACGCACGATTCATCGCGAAAAATAGTTCTAAGTATTTAGGAAATTGATGGATTTTTTTCAGAAAGAAATATGAATTTATACTTATTTTATTTTTTAGATGAATATTGATATTATTTCAAATACTTTGAAAAAAAAAAAGAAATGTAAGGCTGGATTTTTGTTCCGTGTTTAGCGTCCACCCGCGCCTTGTTTTTTGACTAGAGACTGCTAAACTTACACTAGAACCACAACTCACCGTGAAAACGTGCCTTTATTTGAAAGAGGTTTTCTCGGAAGTATTCTTTGAAATATTTTTTAAAGTTTAAAAACCTTCCCAGAAAATGTAAAGAACCTAACCTTGCCGACACATCAAATATTGAACTGATAAAATACTGAGAACCGGAAATTGATTGAACAGGACACATTTCATTTCAATTTTCTGTATTGATAAAACGGTTCTCCTTTGTTTATCTAAGCCAGCAAGCACGATTATTATCTCCTATTCAAAAAATGTAAGCCTCTTCTAGCTATTTATTTAGATGCAATTTTATTGATTTTCACTAATTCACACCCTTGAAATTATTTACACGGCACATATTGCATAATTCTTAGAGTTCTATCTTTTGCATTGTTCAAACATAAATATTGGCTGTATATAACTTGAGGTTCTGGTCAGTTTTTATCTAGAAATAAATAATTCTGGTGAATATTGGTACGGGACGGAAACCCATTTAGAATGAATAAACTTTTTTTTTAAATTTCGATAAAAGATTTTTCGATGTTGTAGGAATGAATAAATTCGTTATTACAATTTGATTCCGATAAAACAATTTTAGCATGTTTTAACAGATTAAATGTTCAAAATTTTATAATATCATTTTATAAATTTTGAAATTATCTGACGACAGTACAACAATTAAAGGTTGTACTTTTGAAAATGTTGTATTTACTTCAAATTGATAAATTAAAACTTGACAACATAACGTTTTATACGAGTATATTATATGTATTTTGTTTGCGCAGTTAGGCTGTTTAAATTTCCAAGTAGTACTTATTAAACAGTTTAAATATTAGTACACTAATAAGTAATAACGTGACATCATTATAATTTTTAGCTCTACTGGTCAGAGACCAGAAGAGCTTATGCGATAGTAATGCGTCCGGCGTCCGTCCGTCTGTCCGTCTGTCTGTCTGTCTGTCCGTCTGTCTGTAAACAATTTTTTAAAATGCTACTCCTCCTACAGTTTTGGTCTAATTTCAATATAACTTGGCACACAAGTAGACTACACTAAGATATATAATTCTGTATATCGGTTTTTGATTTCGATGAACGGTGTTGCCGTGGTTACTAAAATAGAAATTTCTGTGAAATTCTTTCAAAATGCTACTCCTCCTACAGTTTTGGTCTGATTCCAGTATAACTTGGCACACAAGTAGACTACACTAAGATACATAATTCTGTGTATCGGTTTTTGATTTTGATGAACGGTGTTGCCGTGGTTACTAAAAATAGAAATTTCTGTGAAATTCTTTCAAAATGCTACTCCTCCTACAGTTTTGGTTTGATTTAATTATAACTTGGCACACAAGTAGACTACACTAAGATACATAATTCTGTTTATTGGTTTTTGATTTCGATGAACGGTGTTGCCGTGGTTACTAAAAATAGGAATTTCTGTGAAATTGTTTCAAAATGCTACTCCTCCTACAGTTTTGGTCTGATTTCAGTATTACTTGGCAAACAAGTAGAATACACTAAGATACATAATTCTGTATATCGGTTTTTGATTTTGATGAACGGTGTTGCCGTGGTTACTAAAAATAGAAATTTCTGTGAAATTCTTTCAAAATGCTACTCCTCCTACAGTTTTGGTTTGATTCCATTATAACTTGGCACACAAGTAGAATACACTAAGATACATAATTCTGTGTATCGGTTTTTGATTTCGATGAACGGTGTTGCCGTGGTTACTAAAAATAGAAATATCTGTAAAATTGTTTCAAAATGCTACTCCTCCTTCAGTTTTGGTCTGATTTCAATATAACTTGGCACATAAGTAGAATACACTAAGATACATAATTCTGTTTATCGAATTTTAATTTTGATGAACGGTGTTGCCGTGGTTACTAAAAATAGAAATGTCTGTAAAATTGTTTCAAAATGCTACTCCTCCTACAGTTTTGGTCTGATTTCAGTATAACTTGGCACACAAGTAGACTACACTAAGAACATAAAGAGACTTTATCAACGATCATTATTCTATTTAGTTTCAAATCCCAGCTGCTTAAGTACTTTTCTCTTCCTTTGCTATAAGTTCAAACCAGTAGAGCTTCCGTCTCGACAGAGACTTCTGGTTTCTACTTACGTTCATGTTCATTCTGTAGGTCCCTGTCCAGTGACTAGGTCTCAGTGCCGCGCTGATGTTCAAACCGTTGTATTCTATTTTTGTAAATATGGCGTTAGTCAGGGAGTTGTCATTTATGTACCACTGTATGTTGTAAAGTAAGGAGCCATCTGCCGGTGGCGGAAATTGACATCTCATGACAGGCTCCAAGGTTGCCCCGTTTAATGAGGAATCTCGGGTGGCCACTACTTGTGGGGACAAAGTAAGGGTTGGTGGATCAACTGTTACTGTTAATATAAAAAAGTAAAAATCTTTAGCACTTCTCAATGTAAAGTCACAGAAATATATGATTTTACGGGGATACATTAAGGGCATGTGATTATTTTTTTTTACAATACGAAGAAAAAATTATCTGAAGAAAACGAAAAATTATCTCATGAAAATGTGATAATAACTCGTGAAATCGACATATTATCTCGTAAAAATAAAACAAGTCGCTTTCACGAGATAATATGTCGTTTTCAAGAAATACTATCCTGTTTCTACGATATAATGTCTTGTTTTTACAAGATAATCACAAGGTTTTTACGGAATAATATTTCGTTTTCAATGAAACATATCAAATGATATTTTGTCTTTTTCACGAGATTATATGTCGTTTTCATGAAATAATATCTCGTTTTCAAGAAAAACATCTCTTGAAAACGAGAAAATAAGTTGGGTTCCCAGGATATTTTATTCGTTTTCCCGAGATATTTTTTTTATGTCTCTTGTAGTTTTTTTTTCTTAAAAAAATAATACGTATCCTAAATGTACCACCGTAAGATTGTTTCAATTGAATCTATGATGGTCTTTGTCTTCATACATCTCGAGCTCTTAAAGAAGCGCCTGACATTGTTATTTTTTTAATTCTTTATAAAATCTGTAAATCTGTAAAAGTTATCTGTTAAAGTCATATGTTATTGTGTAAGAATGTAAAAAAAATCCTTTATAGCGGTGAGAGCTATGTTATTTTTATAAATGATATGATAAAAACAATTTTTACCATGAATCTTGTATACATAATAAAAATACCTTGTTGACTTAGAGGAATGTGTAATCGATCAATTCCAAACACAGACTGATTTTTCCACAATCCTCAATAAATTGCATATGGCTACCCAAATTCGTGATACCAAACAAACGTTCATAATTAAATAATAATAATAAAAAGGAAATTTATCTTATTTTCTGAAATTCAAATGACAAAGAATGTCTTCTCCAATATGTCTCGTGTAGTTTGAAAAGGGAAAAACAAGTTACTGTTTAAAGTTTGGATTCACGTGCCAACAGTCGCGTCGCCAACATATGAATTTTAAGATGTGTCACAAAAAAATCAAGGTGACTAAGGTATTTAAATTTCTGTCACGTTTGGGATAATTAAATATATCAAATGAGATAAGTGTCATTCAATCAAGCATTATCAACAGTATCAATTTTTCATGTTTAACAAAATTATAACTTAAACTTTGTTATCTTTGATCGTCCTTATATTTTCTTAAATGTAACTCA